AAATTACTTTAGAATTGATATCCTAACACATTGAAGTATAGAGAAAAGGATAACATAATAAGAATGTTCGAAATCATCATTTGTTTAATAATTTTTAATTGTTATTTAAGGACATATTGATAATCATGTTTTCTTACCTTTGCCGACAAAAAGTCTGCGGGAAAGTTCCGAGTTTCAAGAACTTCCAGTGAGACATTTGTTTATCAATGTGTAATAAAGTTTTTTGTAAATTTACAAAACGATTTATTAAATAGTTTAAAAAATATTGAAGTTTTAAAGAAACGCGTGCAGCCGCATATCACATCGCCACGTAGAGTAGAGTCTTATTACGCTCTCAGGGCGTGAAAACATCATCTTCCCATTACTTTTCAATAATATTATTAGTTATTTTCATAATATTATTAATTAAATTGTTTAAAATTATGAACAATTAATAAAAAATTAATTAACAACATTATTAAAAATAATTTTAAAAATTTTTAAATATGTATATATTGTATCTAAATTTTTATTAAATATATTATATTATTAAATAATTTTAAATTTTATAACATTTAAATAACAATTATGTTACTAATTACAAATGTTATTACAATGTTAAAATATAATGTAATACGTGTCGTCAAAAAGAAAACCGTTTAAAAGTTAATTTTAAACATCAAATTAAAAAATACAATAAAAGTGATATACTATAACTTTTCATTGTGATATAAAATAGGTTACTAAATAAAAATGTAACTACAAAGTTAAAATATTGTTAAATATTAAAAAATTAAAAATTAATATTGTTTAAAAATATGTTATCTGCAAAAAAAATGAACGTATACTTTACAAACAATATTTCTGAAACAATATTATTTTACTTATTAGGTAACTACCCTATTGAAAAAAAACACGTATAATTGTACGTATAATAATACGTATAATTATACGTATTATTATACGTATAATTATATGTATTATTATACGTTTAATTATACGTATAATAAGACATACGAATTTGAAACAAGAATTATACGTATAATTATACGTATAATAATACGTATAATTAATTATACGTATAATAATACGTATAATTATACGTATTATTATACGTATAATTATAATTCTATTAAAAATAGAATAATAGAATAGAATAGATTAATTAGTAGCAAAATTGCGCTGAAAATTTTTAGAAATTTTAAAATGCAAATTAAATTTCACGAAAAAAAATATCGTCGAATGTCAATTCAAGCAGTCACCCATCCAAGTACTAACCGCGTCCAACGTTGCTTAACTTCCGTGATCTGATGAGAACTTGTTCTTTCGCCTTGGTGTTTCCGCTGTCTTGTCTTGATTAATAACTTTGTTGTATAAGTATTGTATCGCACCTAACCTCACTTTTAGTGATACTTATACGACAAAGTCATTAATCAAGACAAGACAGCGGAAACACCAAGGCGAAGGAACAAGTTCTCATCAGATCACAGAAGTTAAGCTACGTTGGACGCGGTTAGTACTTGGATGGGTGACTGCTTGAATTGACATTCGACGATATTTTTTTTCGTGAAATTTAATTTGCATTTTAAAATTTCTAAAAATTTTCAGCGCATTTTTGCTACTAATTAATCTATTCTATTCTATTATTCTATTTTTAATAGAATTATAATTATACGTATAATAATACGTATAATTATACGTATTATTATACGTATAATTAATTATACGTATTATTATACGTATAATTATACGTATAATTCTTGTTTCAAATTCGTATGTCTTATTATACGTATAATTGTACGTATAATAATACGTATAATTATACGTACAATTATACGTATAATTATACGTACAATTATACGTATAATTATACGTATTATTATACGTATAATTATACGTGTTTTTTTTCAATAGGGTAACTTGTACAGTATATTTATTTTAATTTTTTATTAATTGTTTTAAAATTGAATGAAATTTAAGAATTAAAATTTGTCAGTTTTTTGTTATTATTAACTAAAATATTCGCTCTACAAAAAAATTTCAAAAAAAAAAGATGCGCTTTAATATTTTATACAAGGTAGTACTTTTTAAAAATTAAAATTTTGAAATTTTTTTTTCCTATTATTATGCCTACAACTGTTATGAAATTGTCCCTTCCGAGCGAAGAGCGAGTTCTTCTTCCGAGCAGCTCAATTGGAGTTCTCGCTATATTTTTTTTGTAATCTGCACGCAAAAATACGTAAAAGTGTATAAATTTGAAACTCTTTAGATAAAATATTCTTCGTTTTTTGGGGAAAAATCATGATTTTTATCGAAAATTATTAGTTTTTTCTTGAAAACACAATGATAATTAACTCCAATCGTTCTCGCTATAATTTTTTTGTAATCTACAACTAAAAATACGTAAAAAAGAATAAATTTGGATCCCTTAGGATAAAATTTTCTTCTTTTTTTATTCGAAAAATCCATGATTTTTCCTAAAAATATGAGTTTTTCTTAAAAACAATATGAACATCAACTTCAATTGTGCTCGCTATGTTTTTTCTGTAATCTACACGCAGAAATACGTAAGTATACCAAATATGAACTGCCTTCGTCAAATATTGTGTGCGCTAGGAGGATTAATCGCTTTTTTTCAAAATTTTTGATTTTTCCTTGACAACGCTAAGTAAATTAATCCAAATCATGTTCGCTATATTTTTCCTGTAATTTTCACGTAAAAATACATAAGTATACCAAATTTGAGCTCTCTATGTAAAAAGATGGGGCAACCAGAGGGGGGGTACATAGTCATTTTTAGGGATTTTTCTTAAAAATTCATGGTTTTTCCTTGACAACGCTATGATAATTAATTCCTATGAGATTCGCTATATTTTTCCTGTAATCTACACGCCAAAATACATATGTATACCAAATTTCAGCCCTCTAGATAAATTCGTGTGGCCGCTAGGGGGGGGGGGTACATACCTTGCTTCACTAGTCTCATTAATAGGGTTCCCCTTTCGGGTACGGAAGCCTAAAAATGGGGTAAAATTTTGAATTTTTTTTTCACCAATCGAAATAACACAAAAAACTTTTGGAAAACATATATGTCAAAATTATATCCATTTACTTATATAATATTTATAATTTTTAGTTAATTAATTAATTATTAAGGTTAATAAATAATGATATATTTTATAAACAAATAAAGTTATCGTAATTCTAACGTTACTAAATGAATGTTGACATAATACGTACCGCATCCAACCAGCCCTATATGAAGTACAATTGGCTAACATTGCAAATGTTTATAAAAAATCCTCTAATCGAAAATAGTTCATATAGGGCTCGTTGGATACGGAAGTATGTCAGCTTTTAATTGGTACCTTCAGGATTGCAATAATTTTATTTATTTGTAAAATATTTCATTTTTTATTAATATTAATTAATTAATTAATATCTCGAAAATATCAAAAAGGGAAATAGATAAATAAAAAAAAGACTTAACTTAGAAAAAAGTCAAAAAAATTTTTGTTTTTTAAAAAAGGGTCAAATTTTAAATTTTTTGAAAAAATTTTTTCACTATTCGAAAGAGCAGGAAAAAACCTTTCGAAAACATATAGTTCTAATTTTTTTTTCATGTTTCTGTTTAATAGTTACAAGTCTTTAAAAATTTACTGTTTTTGAATTGTACAGCTTAATTCCTTTTCTTTTCACGTCTAAAAAGTTTTGTGAAAGACATAATACAGTTTCTGTATTCAGAAATCTGTTCGCGAATCTCTTTTTCTCAAATTTAAAAAACTACATAGTCTTATCAGAAAACTGTTATTATCTAATTCTTTTTTCACTGGGTTATTTATTTATAAGTACTACTATTCTGTTATTAAATAATAAAATGTTTTTATCGTAGCAAAATGTCATATCAAACTTACGCCAAATGTCGGTATTTCATTTTTGATTGGACATCAGTGAAGGTTTTAGAACATTAAACTAATAATGTTTTTATATTTAAATTACCATTCAAAATGTAGGACCAAAGTAAGTGTATAAAGTATAGGAATTTAGACTAAGGGATAGAGTTTGAAGGCAAAGGATATAAGGTTGAAAGAGCATTGCATTTCCGGTATTATTTAAATTCAAAAAAAAGCTACAGAGTTGGGGAAAAAATTACTTTCAATTTAAATAACAAGTTTTAACAATAAATTCATAATATTAAAGAGATTTAATTTTAAAATATTTAAAAATATTTTTATTTTTTACGAAGATGTATAGTATAAATATATAATCGTATTTTATTTTCTTTAATAATAAAATGTAAAATGAGATTTTTTTTATTAGTGTTTTGAAAATAATTTTATAATGAAAAATCATTTTTTAACAAGTAACATTTTACAGTTGAAAAATTATATTAGGTCGATTACTCTGTATTTGGTATAACCGGTGACCGGCTAGTAGAAGTATAAAGACTCGACTGTAGAGCTTACAGGTAAAGCAGGTGTTGTAAGGTAATAGAAATTTTATATATAAACAGGTACTTCTTTGAAACTAGTAGTTTTAATTTTGCCTAGATCATTAATTAAATATTTTGAGACTTTGATAAATATTTGTAAAATTTGTAAAAACGTTTATTGTAAGGTGTTGAAGCAAAAGTAACAGTTATTTTAAGTTTGGTATGTGACCGTAAACAGTGCATTACGTTCGGAGTAGATTGGATCCTTCATCTGCCGTTATTCGGTAGAGTCAGTCCAGTGTCAAAGTCCGTAGCTAGATGCATTCCGCCGTTATTGCCGTCGTTACATCTTAAAACAGGTGGCCCAGTTATGTACATATATATGTAGATTGATTTGTTATTTGTTTTTTATTTGCAATTTTGATTTTAAATTATTTCTGCCCTAACAACTATTAACGAGACAGTGCTGACTTTATTGGAGAGAGGTTTCGGTATTTTTCCTATTTACTTTTCTACCTGGTGCGTCCGACCTGTACCGAAAGCTACCGAATGGACTCGTTAAGGAAGGTGCCGGTCATCGTGGCATCAGCGCTGTAACAAAGTGTGACTTTTTTTAGTTTTTTGTAAGTATAGTACGAGTTACAAGTTTCCCGTGGTCATTAGTGATTATTGTCATTTCTTTTTTCAAAATTTTATTGGTACCAAAGTTGCTATTTATTTTTCTAATTACAAAAAAAATATTTAAGTGTGTCATTATAAAAGTTTCGCTTAAATAACATGAACAATTTCGAACTATACGGGAAGTGTACATTAAAATAATTATTTGAGGTGCAGTGAAGTGTTTTAATGGCGTAAAAATATATTACTTAATTACGATTTAACTGTATTTCCTGGATTTTTTTTCACTTTTGACACTAGCTCTAAGGTAAGAATATATAATATTTATATTATTTCATATATTAATAATAATAATGATTTATTTCATAATTTTTAACTAAACAATATAAAACAGAGTTAATTTTGTTGTAATTCAATTGTTGTTTAAATTTTTTAACTATCACAAATATTTTTGAATTTGCAATAAAATGAATTTCGAAAAATTGACCAAGTTGTTTTTTGTATGTATTATAAATTACCAATTAAAAATAACTTTTTAAATTATTTATTTAATCTGACACAGATAGTTTTTATGCCGGATGGCAAGAACCCAGTAAGAATAATGAGTCCAACATGAGAGAGAAGAAAAAATTTCTAATCATTATAAAATTAATTTCTTGCTTGTTTATAGTTTTATATCCTTCTTAAAAATTAAGAATGAAAAAAGGTTATGATTTTCCTGAACGATGATAAACATTAAAGTAAATTAATGTTGATGAAAGTAATAGTAGAAATTGTCGTTAACTTAATTTACATTCTACATTGAGAAGATAATTAAAAAATAAATTTTAATTTTTCTTTTTATATTTATTTATCTTTATTAATACAAACAAATTTAAAAAGTGTTAACAATATATTGGGCAAGTGAACCAGTCATTGGCTTATTTAACCTAATTTTCAGCTTCAAGAATTAAATTAACATATAGAAGATAATAACATATTTTTAGAAATTTTAAACCGAATTCAGTTAAATTATTATCACTTTTGAATAAAAATGTGCTAAAATATAGTTAACAAACAATTGTTTGTATATCGCAAAGTTGCAGTCATTTACACTCTTAAATATGTAGTTACGCGAATAAATTATGTATTATTCATTTATTCTAATAAAATTGAATCAGCAAACACAGAACAAGCTAAATATTAATTTGTTTTTGTAATTTAAAGAAAAAATTATGGGTACCAACAACTACTGACCTTTGTGCCAATGGCATGGATCACTTCTCAGTTAGCCTATAAGCTTGCGCAGGAAACTAGCAAGCAAGCTTGTTGAAGTTTCCCTGCACTTTTACAGACTAACTGCATCACCATTTTGCCATACAGCACAAGAAGTTTCCTAAACATTTTCTAAAGTCAATCTGAAATATCTCCGAAATATTTATCGGAAAATCTGTAAGGAAATATTCGTTTAATATTAAAGTGACCACATGTGAGAAAATACTATGGTCAAAGTATAAGCGAATATTGATAAATAAACATTACTTCAACATTGCGAGGCAATATTACTTAAACACTGTAGTACAATATTTACTTAAACTTTAAGTTCAATAATTTTTCATAGGTCTAACTGCCAAAACGACTTTTTCCAATAGCAATAAGTTGTCAAAATACTCGAAATTTAGACTTTAAACCATTAATGCCCATAGCCACAGACAAGCCAATTTCGAGAAAACAACTATTAGGATCCTACCCAGTGGACAAAGAATCATGTTCAAAAACGTTTTTAGAACGTTTCATGTCAGTCAAAAAATGTTCTAGAACATTATTTTAACATCCATGTTCTTAAAATGTTTTAGAACATTATTTGGCGGACATGTAACGTTCTAAAATAAAGTTTTTAGAACGAACATGATTTTTTGACCACTGGGTAGCATGAGTCCTAATAATAATTTTGAAGTTAACAATTTTTTAAGCAATTTGTTATAAACAAATACGGTACCTCTATTCAAAATAAACCAATCTGGCGATGGTCGAGTAAAAGAAACACTTTAACGTTGTCTCTCTCTAAAGCGATTAATCTTCATTTTTTTTACTTTAGGCATATATATTTTATTTAAAATTCTGCATTTACAATAAGATCTAAACACAATTTATAATCAGTGAAAAATGAGAAAATATAAAATGTTGTATAAATTTCATTGTAAATGTTATACTGTAAATAAAAAATGCTTTAAAAAATTATTGCGAGGTTATAGAAAAAAAAGAAGTCTGTTTGCTTATTAGAAAGACAAAATAATAACCAAACATAATAACTAAAAGTAATAACTAATAGCACCATTCGGTTATACGTGAAAAATTAAAACGGTAACATGTATTACTTAAATTTTTTTTATAAAGTTATATTGCTATATAAGTTAATTTATAAATTGTTTATAACATTTTTACAACAGAGTAACTTTAAAAAAGAATGCAAGTGATACATGTTCCTGTAGTAATTTTTTACTTAGAATCGAATCGCACCATTAGTTTTTTCTAAAACTTAACAATTTGTTTATAACAAATTGTTTGAAAAACTTTTTAGGGTCAAAAATTATTATTAGGGCTCATGCTAGGATCCTAATAGTTCTTTTTAGATATCTGCTTGTCTGTATAGCTATGGTTGGGCCCGGCTGAAAAAACTTGTACAAGAAAATGTACAAGTTCTTGTACATGTTCAAGTAATGTTCTTGAACAAGTTCAGCATCCGGAATTGAGACATGTTCTTGTACCAGAACTTGTACAAGATCCTGGATAAGAAAATATATACTTGTACAAGAAAATGTACATGTTCTTGTACATATTTTTTGTGCAGGTTTCATGTACAAGTACTTTTAGATGAACACGTTTATGTTCTTGTACAAGAACATTTGTTTAAAAATGGTTTTGAAAAAAATTTGAAATTTTAATAAGTTATAATTATTAAGAATCTTCACTTATACATGCTAAAAATTATTGCGCAGCTGTAAAGGCTTAAAAAAACTACTGCGCAGCCTTTAAAGTTTTTAATTTTTAATTTAAAAGACATAAATGAACATGTACAAGAACATGTTCCACATCTGGTACAAGAAAATGTATATGAAATCTGCACAAAAAAATATGTACAAGAACATGTACATTTTCTTGTACAAGTATATTTTCTTGTCCAGGATTTTGTACAAGTTCCCCTCACAACACAAGGATATTCAGGATATCCCTGGGACGTCCTGGGGATATCCATTTGCTTTTGGCGATTCGGATATCCCTAAGATATCCTCTGGATATCCATGGACATCTCTAAGATATCCCAGGGATATCCAAACCGCCGAAAACAAATCGATATCCCCAGGACGTCCCAAGGATATCCTGAATATCCTTTTGTTGTGAGGGTCTGGTACAAAAACATGTCTTAATTCCGGATGCTGAACTTGTTCAAGAACATTACTCGAACCTGAACAAGAAAATGTACAAGTTCATTTATGAATACGTTTAAGAACTTGTACATTTTCTTGTACAAGTTTTTTCAGCCGGGGGTTACCATTTTTAGTTAGTAAACTATATACTGATGCTAATTTATTAGTTGTGGTTACTATTTTTGTTGCTTGGCATAACTTGGTTTAACTAATTAGTTTGTTGGAATAACTATTTAATTAGTTACCTTACTAACGAAATGGTTAGGCTTACTAACTAAATGGTAACAGTAACTAATATAAATGAGCAAAAATGAGTTACATGTTACATGGCCATGTAACACCTTTATAATTCTATTAACTTTAATTATATTCTTATTCCATATTATTTATTATAATTAATTTTATTCTGTTTATATTCAGTAAGATAATTTTTATTTTTAAAAAATGATAATTTAACTATTAAAACTCAGGGTGTTCAGCAGTCAGGGGAATGTCAGTGAACTTTTTAAAAATTTGACAAAAATAAACATTTTTATGAATTTTTTGGTACAAGAAAAAATTTACAATGGTAATAAATAAAATTTTTTTGAAAAATACTTTAATATTTGATATTTTTCATTTTTTTTAATATTAAATATTTATTTAAAAAAAGTTAGAAAAAGGTTAGGAAAAAGTCAGGGAATTTCAGGGAATTATCGTAGCACTAACGTAACATTTTCTTAATTATTTATAAATTTTTTACAAATGGTAATCTTAAAAATTTACTTTATTTACATTTTTCAAATAGGGAAAACTATTGAGGCCCTGGTCAGAGTCCTATTTTAAATTTAGCGAATACCCTATTTGTAGAGATCCTCAAGAGAGTGTAGACGCATGTTTCCCCTTCCACTACTTTTGCGGGTAACCGGAATCGAAAGTGATGAAAAAATATGATTTACTATTGGTATCTTTTAAAATGCCTTTAATATAAACCATTTCAAACAATTGCGCTCATTTCGAACCAATCAAATAAATTTTGGATTAACTTTCCATTTCAGTTTTACCCTCTACCAATCACAGTTCAGCTCGACTTGCGTCAACTCTCCCTTGAGGATCTCTACCTATTTGGGGTTTCAGCCGTTTTTCATTATTTTAATTTTAAAAAAAGTTTATATAATTGTAATCCAAAATAAAATTTTTGAAATAATTGAAACAATTTTTAATAATATTTTAAAACCAAAACTATATACTAGCCGATATTTTTGAGTATGAGTTGTTTAACTTTTTTATAAAAATTCATAAATGTTTTTTTACAGATATCGGAGTAATAATTAGCAGCGTGGAGAAATGGTGATCGTTACTCGGGTAAGCAATTTTTAAAATTAGTTATAGGACGTTTATTTAACTTCAAACTTTTGTAAACTTATTATATATGTACATACTTTTTACTTTAACAATAGATTTATGACCCTCACACCAGAACTATGTCCGTTTTATCCACATTGCGAACAGAATCGAAGTAAAATATTTTGAATTATTTATATAAATAAATAGATAAATTAATTTTATTTGCTCACAATGTTTCCCTTACTTAACGTTTACAACTTTTTACTTAAATAAATTAAATTTTATTTACTAGAATTACTGTAAAAAACTTCACAAACTCTTCCGAAGAAATAATAGGAAATTTTTCCGAAATAACCAAAATACCACAACTCGCAGGAATATTCCTCAAATCTCATTTGACTCAAATGAGATTTAAGGAATATTTATGCGAGTATACCATAGCACTAAAAATAATTTTTGATATATATAAAATGGTTATCTCTTTAATTTTATTATAGGAAACATTGAAATATCTGATTTAAAATGTTTTGATAAATATTGAATAATAAAATAAACGTAAAATTTTTGTTCAAAATATTACCGAATTCGTTAAAATGAATTGTTTACTCTTAACTTTTTTTATTGTATTTTATATTTTTAACTTTGAAAATAATTGATATTTGTTAAAAAAATTAAAAAATAAATGTTGTGTCGAAATAAAATATTTAATTTAGAAACAAGCTACCATAGTAGGATCATTTCAAAGTTTATTAAATTTAGCTTCAAATGGATCAAAATACAACCATTTTAATATTATTAATATAGTATTATAGTTCTGTAAAGTCAGATATTTTTTTGCGAAGATTACAATTGAAAAATCTTGAGTTCAAATGAACGTCAATTGAAATTTTCTTTTGAGATTTGATCCTTTTTAAGTTAAACCCTAAATATTAATTCTAAAACAAATTTTATATTAATTAACTTTTATATTAATTGACTTGAAATAGATTATTAAGAAGATTATTTATGACAGTGGTGTAATAAATTCTTCCATTATACGATTTTCAGGGCGATTACATATGGATCGAACCCATCTCAGGAAGGGAATTTGATGTTGCTATTGGTGCTCGAGTTGTTTCAGCAGAAGGCAGACGTATTCAAGTAAAAGACGACGATAATAAGGTATCTCATATATTTCATGTGGAAATAATCTCAAATTAATAAATAACAGACTAGGATGAAGAATTACAAGATAATATACATAATTCTCATTAAAAATCTTAAAGAGCTGAATTTTTTTTCTAAACATTTTTTATATTAAATAAGATTAATTAAAAAAAGTATGAAAGAAATTTTTAGATATCTAAAATTGTAAGGTCTCATCTATTTGTAGGATTACTTTTTGACCTAATAGAAATGTAATTAGTAAAATTATCTACAATTTCAAACATTTGAGCACTCAGAATGATTACAAGCATTAATCACTACACCCAGTGAGCTCCCTATTCTAAGAGAAAGAACTTTATAATATGCCCCTGTTCGATCTGCACACAGTTTTGTTTCACAAATAACTATTTTTAATATTATATTATAATGTATACCTAATTACTGCATATACAAATTATCTTTCTTTTACTATAGGAACAATGGCTAACTCCCGAAAGGCGTATAAAAGCGATGCACGCTACATCAGTCCAAGGTGTAGAAGATATGATCAGTTTGGGCGACCTCCATGAAGCTGGAATTTTGAGAAACCTTCTTATTCGTTACAACGAAAATCTTATTTACGTAAGAAATTTTGAGTTACTAATAACTTTACAAAAGATTTAACAAATAATGCCTAAAGAAATACTTTTTAAGTGTATTTTGTAAACCCAAAACATTTTTAAAAGAAAAGTTTCCAATGTATTTTTGTGTGTTGAACGCGATCCCGAGTTCCAAAATTGCGTATCACGTCAGGATTTAGAGTAAAGTCTCCAAAAACTGTGTTTTTGAGGGTTTCAGTATTTTTCTCCTTAACCTTACGTGCTAAAGACTATTCTACATAGATAGGCTTCAATTAAAGCTTAAATCGTACAATTTAAGACCCACATACGCAAGAGAAATAAAAATTATAAATTTTGAAAAAATGGGAATAAAGACCCCAAAAACCGTGTTTTTGAGGTAAGGCTTTTTTTTCTCTTTAACCTAACGTGTTAAAGACTTCTACATAGGCCTAAATTAAACCTTAAATAGTACATTTTAAGACGCATATATGCGCAAGATAAAAAAATTTTGAAGAAATTGGGGAATATTATTTTTGTATCTTGCGCATATGGGTCTTAAAAAGTATACTATTTAAGGTTTAATTTAGGCCTTTATAGAAGTCTTTGACACGTCAGGTTAAGGAGAAAAGAAATACTGAAAACCCTTAAAAATACGGTATTTGGAGTCTTTACCCTCACTTTACTCAAAATCCTGACGTGATATGCAATTTTTGAATTCGGAATCGTGTTCAGGACACAAAAATTTATTGAAAACCACTTTGATATCTCAAAAATAACCATGGAGACCTGTGTTTTTCATATAGAAAAATTTTTATTTCATAAAGTTTCAATAAAACAGAATTTTAATTTAACGTTTCTGAATATTTAACATTGTTCTTTAATCAAATTTCTAATCATCTTAATTGTCGAAATAACATAATATATATGAATATTTTAAAGTAATGTCGATCAAATAACAATTCTGAAACATATAAATTATATTAACTGTCGAAGAAAATTAATAAATTAAAAATTTTGAAGTTATTCGGAGAATCGATAATTATGCCAATAAAAATGATCATTTGAAACATTAAATTAGTGACAAAGAATTTTCGGCATAAATAAAAATTGTGTAAAAAAATAATTTTTATTACTTAAAATTTAGAATAAATAAAAAATATATTTAATGGTATTTAAAAACATAAAATTAATATTAAATAGTAATTAGATATAAGAATTATAAAAATTATGAATTTACATTTCGGAATAAATCTCTAATAAATTCTTGTAAACTCTAGGATATGAATATAATCTAATTTTCCATTGTTTGTGCTGAATATTTATTAACTTTATTTCTTAAAAATTACACTATGCTTGAAAAAGGTAATTTTTTGGAACAAACTTGGCATATAGTGTATTAACCTAATTTGGGTACGCTGAATTTTCTTTTTTTGCCAAATATCAAAATACATTTTTCCTAATGAAAAAGAATAAAATTTACTTGAAATTCGTTTCTCGAGGATTTTCGGGGTCTCTTATTACGAATCCAGTGTCAGTTTTTCAAAATTCTAAATGACAGATCCAATATCGAGGATAAATTTATTAAAAATTAACGTATTTCACTTGAAATTCATTTCTCAGAGGTTTTTGGGGTCGCTGATTACAAATCTGGTGTCAACGACCTCAAAACACTACTAAGTAACGAGTTTCAACATTAAATTTGAAATTCTTGAAACTAACTTAGGGGTCATCCATAAAGCATGTGATACTTTAGGGGGTAGGGGGGGGTCAGCAAAATATCACACTCCATATTAATCGGTATTGGAAAAAGCATCACAAGGGGGAGGAGGGGGGGTGTTAAAATTCTGAAAAAATGTATCACATGCTTTATGGATGACCCCACTTAAGGGATTCCTAACCCGTGTAGAAATCACCAACGTATGCCTAAAATGATTGTTAGCCCAACATTGGTCCTACCTTGGCAGCCCCTGTTTATAAATTCTAGACTGGTCCTAACTTGGACTTAGCTAGAACATCTAGTTAAGTGTAAGAAAATTTTTTAATGAAAAAAGTGATTGAATTTAGGATTTGTAAAATATTCTCAGATAATACTTATTTAAATAATTGATGATTATTTATATGGTTTTAATTATTTATTAATTTGCAATAAATATTTAAAGACATTTTTCCATGGTTATATTTGTTAATTTATTTAATTGTTATAAATATTGCCAAATAATATATTTCAAAAATATTTTGTTGAATTTTTATTTGTTTAAACAATTTATTGTTCATAATTTATAACTTTTTTAAATACACATAGACAGTAGCATAGTTAATATAAATAACAATAAATTGTTTAAACAATTAAACAATGCAGTATAATGTTTTAAATCCATTATTTGACAACATATAACACTTACAGTGAAAGTTCTGGATGATTTCAAGTATTTTTGTAAAATAGAATTAAAAAAATATAGTGAAAATTTATATAGACAAATCAAATAAAAATATCTAATTCGGTTAAAATTAATTTTTTTAATTATTTATTATTTATTACTAAAACTGATTCTAACTAGGCACCCAAGTTAGGACCAGGCTAAAATCGCATCCCAAAACATTGTAGGACCAAGCTAGAATGCCAAACTTGGACCTACCCAGTAAAAAAAAATAATTTAAACTTCGAAATATTTATTCTATTCACCGTAACCTTCCAATTCGGTTTTTGTCGCCAAACCGAATTTAGCTTAAGTTACAACCAATTTTTTTCGCTTACTCCCAATTATTTTTTTTTTTACTAGGTAGTTAATAATAAGGCAAAATAGATAGGACCAAGGTAGGACCAATTTTCTACACAGGAAACAGGGTGTTTTTCCTATAAGAATCACCAAAAGAGAACATCAATTTTTTGAACCTTGTATTCGTTTTAGTAGACCAGGTCACATATTTTGAAATAAATGGGATCCGAACGATTTTATTAAAAAAATCCGCCATATTGCGGATACACCATTTTGAAATTTGAAAAACTGGCACTAGATTCGAAATCAGCGACCCCAAAACGAGTTTCAAGTTAGTTTTATTCTTCTTGATTAGGAAAAATTTTGTATTTTGATAATAGGCAAAGAAAAACAAAATGGCGATTATTTTAAAAATTGTACCTGATCTTGAAAAATGGCTAACGCCATTGAATTTAGCGTACCAAAATTAGGTTAATACACTATATGCCCAATTTGTTCATTTTTTGAACTAGCACAGTGTTATTATTTCTTTTCTTTATTTCATACCTTAATACTACTTAAGTTTGTTTTCCTAAAAAATATAAGTGTAATTTCTTTTTTAGACATATACTGGTTCCATATTGGTGGCTGTGAATCCATATCAAATATTACCAATTTACACTGCTGAACAAATAAAACTTTACAAAGATCGAAAAATTGGTGAATTACCACCACACATATTTGCAATAGGAGATAACAGTTACGCTCACATGAATCGTTACAGTCAGGACCAATGTATAGTAATAAGGTAAGAATCAAATGTATAAAATATCATCTAAAATATTTTGGATAATTCAAGAAATATCCTAAGCGAATAGGAAACTTTATTTGGAGGGTCTCCTAAGTTAAATATCTCAGTATAACATCGCAAAGACACAATTTATCACCGCTTGTAAGATTTTACTAAAGGAACAATTTTTTTATTAATGTTAAAAATAATATTTATTTTAAATAAATTAATTAACAAATTGACAGAATTAATAGTAAACCGTTTAAAATAATTAATTACAATTTTTATAAATTAGAAATTTACGTAGCTATTGAAAAATAAATATAAATATTTAACTAATAATAAAATAAAAACAGAAATTTTTTTATTAAACAAATAAAAATGTAGATAAAAATAACAAAAATATTTAGGCATGTAAAAATGAATTATCATAAATATTTATTTTTCAATAAAACAAGTTTTGATTTGAAATTATTACTAGTCAGTGTACACAAATTTAGCTTCGGATAATTTCGGAAACTGTCGTTAATGTACGAAGTCCGACTTTGCGAAAAGTTAATAGAGTTCTGAAGTATGTTGACAGCGCCTACTGGTGGTGAAAATTTCAAATAGGCAGGTGTGTGGTTCCAACGGATGTCATTGTATCTTATTGAAAAATGTCAATTTTAATTAAAAATAGGGAATCGAATAGAATATGCTGCGTTGTAGATTGTTCGACTACAGAACGTAAAAATCCGGAATTACAGTTTTATTCTTTCTCGAAACAGTGGTGGTTAATAGAAAGGAGAAAAAAACTTAATAATTTTCATCTAATTCTGAATAAACTCTTTTTAAATTTCACTATGTTAAAGTTTAGATTAACTTTTATTGAATTATGAAATAATTTGTCTTTTCGTATAGAGGAAAATTATAGAGAATCCTTGATCTCATTTTCTGGGATTTAAAATCTGCAGAAAAGTTAGTAATCGTTATTAAAAAATGGTAAATTGAGGGTCCCGATCAAATAAATGGACCGAACGCTCCATTACCAGTAAAGTAGTAGTGACAGCCTGTGGGCGGCTCACTGCTACCCGACTACCATTAGAGCGTTCGTCCGAGTGTCGATCGAGTTATTTGATCGGGACCCTCAATTGAAGTATATAAACCGATAATTAATAATAAAACTATATTTTTAAAATCAACTATATTTAAAATTTATTTTTTATATTAAATAGAAAAATAATGTTAAAATTTGCAAATTCAAAATGGCGGACTAAATTACTGAAATTTTTCAAAATTATCTAATTTTAACAAAACTTGATATTCTAATGTTTTTAAAATCGTTGAATTCAAATATGATGGTAAAAATAACAAATTCAAAATGGAATTTGCTACGACCCAATAAATGCCAAAAAAACTTCTTTTTTTTGCAAAATTTTTTGAATTCGCTGCCATCTTGTCATTTTTAAATATTTTTTATCGGAGTTAGGAAAAATGCCTAACCACCTGTCTCAGCTTCAAAACGTTTATCTTTTTTTTTAATTCGATGCCTCTGAAAGGCTACACATTGTTCACCGATTGACCAAATTTTTTTTTACCTTTACTTAAGTGCTCTCTGCACGGAGAAAATCTGAAAGCACTGAGTATTTTTCCTCACAGCACTGGCTACTGCGTAAACCAAAAAATTAAATTCCAGAGTTCTGAAAGTTCTCCACACAGCACTGAATGCTCTGTAGAAAATAATCACAACTTTTTTTGACAGTAATCAGAGTTTTGTTTTATATTAGTTGACAACAGATTATTCAGAGCTACGAATGTAGCAATAAATTCTTTGCTCGAAGTCGTGAGTGCTGTTCTCACAGCTCTGAGTACTGTGTAGAATTATTTTTTAGAATTTAGAAAACAAAGGAACGTTTAACATCAATTAAAAGGAAGATAGCCATGGTTATTTTTTCTTGTCAAATATTAATTTTAATTGGCATGTTTATAACCAGTTAATGAATAACAGAAATAAAGAAATGAAGAATTTAAAAAGTCTTTTTAAAAACTATCGGTTTTAAAATATTTTTTAGTTATATAGCAAATAAAGTTATTATATTATAATGAAATAATAAATAATTATTTTTAAAATAAATTACTATAGGTAAATTTTAAATATTTATTTGTATTTCACAAGTTTTGAGATTTTAAGATTTCTTAGCTAATATCAAATTACAACCTAATCTAAATTTATAGATAATTATGATTAAAAAATAATAAGTTTCAACATTATTATTTTAAATATTTATCTCTTGAAGTAAAAAAAATATAAATAATCTTAGTCAAATAATCTGTTTTTCATAAAAATATTAGAAAACATCTAAAATTGATTAAAATTGTCTTGAACGCTTGTTAAAAATTGTTGTCTATTTTTTATTAAAGGTTTAATGTTCTTTCATTTCTTTAATCCTAAAAAATAATTCTACACAGTACTCAGAGCTGTGAGAACAGCAGTCACAACTTTGAGCAAAGAATTTATTGCTACATTCGTAGTTCTAAATAATCTGTTGTCAACTAATATGAAACAAAACTCTGATTACTGTCAAAAAAAGTTGTGATTATTTTCTGCAGAGCATTCAGTGCTGTGTGGAGAACTTTCAGAACTCTGGAATTTAATTTTTTGGTTTACACAGTAGCCAGTGCTGTGAGAAAAAATACTCAGTGATTTCAGATTTTCTCCGTGTGGTGAGCAAAAAGATCCAATAAAAAAATTTTTTATTTTTTTTGAAGAACTATTTTTTCTTGACATTGTACAAAAGGTTTTTTTCCTTTAAATAAAGTAATTAACGAGAAAAAATTGTTTTAACCCTTTTTTTACTACCATCTATCGCAGAGGCGCGTGGAGGGACCGAGCGCACGTGGTCATGTTCGTTGTTCAATTACTCAGTAACTAAAAAGTAGTCCTAAATTTCTTTCATGGGGCAAATTTCTAATAACCTCTATAGATTAGAAATATGGAAAAAAATCGCTTTTTTAAACCTCGAACGTGAACTGCCCCCTTTACTTCAACAACCTCCAAAAAGGTTAAAATTCCAAGTTTTTTTCAAATCTAAGCATTTTTTAATTGGTTCAGTCCGACATTTAAATTTAATACAAATTTATTCAAAAATTGAATAGCCAAAAAGTAATTTAAAATAAGTTTTAAATCTAATATTGCTGTCATTTGTTATCCTACATTTCGAGAAAATTTCAGTTTAATATTCACGAAACTTTTGTTGTAACCGACCTTATTTCGAATCAATCAAATAAATTTTGGATAACTTCCGATTCCGGTTACCCTCTCCCCATTGAAAATCCCTGTACAAGATCTTGTACAAGAAAACTTGTACCTGTTCTGGTGAGAACATGTACATGATCTTGTAAATTTCGGCAGCAGAATTTGGAACAAGTTCTTGTATCAGAACTTGTACAAGATATTGTACAAGAAAATATATTTAATATTTCTATACAAGAAAATGTACATGTTCTTGTACATATTGTTGTACAGGTACATTTACATCTTGTACAGGGATTTTCAATAGGGCAGCCGTATTAAATGACCTATTTACTGTAATATTTATGCTTATTTTTTCAATAGGGGAAGTAAATAAATGACACAAAACACTTGCAAATACGACAAAAGATTTTGATTTAATTGTATGTTAATCATGTGTATTAAATTATAAAATTTCAAAATTTGAATTAATAAATTTTGTTTCAATTGTTTAGTGGTGAAAGTGGAGCAGGAAAAACTGAGAGCACAAAATTAATTCTGCAGTACTTAGCAGCTATCAGTGGAAAACACTCATGGATAGAGCAACAAATTTTAGAAGCTAATCCAATTTTAGAAGGTAAAGAAAATCATGTTTTATCTGAGAAAAATACTCAGAAATAAACACTGCAAATACACTGAAAAAAATAGTATTGAATCAAGAAAATTTAATTGCTGCAAGTAAATTGTGGGATTGAATAAGGACAAGTAGGAAAAAAAAATTACCTTCTGAAACGAAATGCACAACCAATCAGGTTTGTGCACTCCGTTTCGGTAAGTAATTTTTACGGGAGAGGTATAAAATCTCTTTGACTAATTGTAAGCTGTTTAGTAGAATCATTAGTAAACGTGTTAAGTAGAATATTGTAACTATTCTCTCCTTGTATTATATTATAATACTGCAGCAATTTTGCAGAAACTAATGTAATGTTTGTCTGTCCGTAATGTTTGCTCTGTTTTTATTTTAGCATTTGGCAATGCAAAGACTGTGAGAAATGACAATTCATCTCGATTTGGAAAATATATAGATATTCATTTTAATAATCAAGGAGTAATAGAGGGTGCAAAAATAGAGCAGTATCTCCTAGAAAAATCCCGAATAGTTTCTCAAAATATGGACGAGAGGAACTATCACATTTTTTATTGCATGCTAGCTGGACTTTCAAAAGACGAAAAGCAAAAACTGGAACTGGAAGATGCGTCATCGTATAGGTATTTGGTGGGGGTAAGAATCAAATTTTAAATATGTATTCCCAGTAAGATGAGAGAAATTAAAAAGAATTGAAAATTTATATTTATTGCAAAAATAAAAAGAATTAAGGGAAGGCACTTTGACCTACTTAAATTATTAAACGATTGAATATTTATTGTTTTACTTGCAGGGAGGTAGCATCACATGTGAAGGCCGTGACGATGCTGCAGAATTTGCAGACATCAGATCAGCGATGAAGGTATTATTATTTACCGATTCTGAGATCTGGGAAATTTTGAAACTACTATCAGCTTTACTGCATATCGGAAATGTGAAAAGTAGAGCTACTGTTGTAGGTAAGTACTAAATATTCTGATGTACTTTAAATAGAAACAAAATTCACCGAAAAAAAGTTATATTAAAAAAGGTATATAAAATAGGATTCACTCATTCGAGTCTAATATTACTTCCATTTAAGAGAACATTTCAATTTGGAGTGTTGAAAACAGGCGAATTTAAAACATTAATTATAGAAAGTAAATAAGAGCAATCATTTCGATATTTATAAATGCATGTTCAATTATGATATTCACCTTGACCTGAATTTATGCAGATTAGGCATATCAATTTATAAAATTATGCCTTCTTCTTACAGATAATTTGGATGCAACTGAGATTCCTGAACAAACGAATGTAATAAAAGTAGCTCAGTTACTAGGTGTACCCATTCAATCTTTGATAGATGCTCTTACGAGGCGAACGATTTTCGCGCACGGTGAGACAGTGGTAAATGTTATCAAAATATTATTGTAAATATCACAGAAAATTATAAGGTATTAAAATAAGCTGCAACGCTTATTATTTTAATCCAATTTTGCTTATTTTAATACCAAAATGGATTAAAATAAGAAAAATTGGATTAAAATAATAAGCGTTGCAGCTTATTTTAATGCCTTTTAATTTTCTGTGATTCCATTTTGCATTGTCATGTATAGTTAAATATGTTCTTTTATTCCAGATATCGACGCTTTCAAGAGAGCAGTCCGTAGACATTCGTGATGCGTTTGTAAAAGGAATTTACGGACGATTGTTCATTCATATAGTGAAAAAAATTAATGAAGCTATTTTTAGACCAAAACACACATCCCGTAGTGCTATTGGCGTATTAGACATTTTTGGCTTTGAGAATTTCAATCACAATAGTTTCGAACAATTCTGTATAAACTATGCGAATGAGAATTTGCAGCAATTCTTTGTTCAACATATTTTCAAATTAGAACAAGAAGAATATAATCACGAAGGAATAAATTGGCAGCATATTGAATTTGTAGATAATCAAGATGCTTTAGACTTAATTGCTGTCAAACAATTGAACATAATGGCATTAATAGATGAGGAATCAAAATTTCCCAAGGTAATTATTATTATTATTTTCTGTTTTTTGATCAGGAAACAGCTCTAACGTTAAAAATTTTATATTTCACAATATTGAATAATCAATTATTTCCTTAGGGAACGGACCATACAATGCTGGCGAAAATTCACAAGACCCACGGAACCCATAAAAATTATCTGAAACCGAAATCTGATATAAATACATCCTTTGGTTTAAACCATTTTGCTGGAGTCGTTTTTTATGACACAAGAAGTTTTCTGGAAAAAAACAGGGACACTTTCAGTGCAGATTTATTACAATTAATTCATATTTCATCAAACAAGTTCCTTCAACTTTGCTTTGTTGAAGACATTGAAATGGGTTCAGAAACACGAAAAAGAGCTCCTACATTGTCCACACAATTTAAAAAGTCTTTAGACTCTTTAATGAAGACATTATCTACCTGTCAGCCATTTTTTATTAGATGTATTAAACCTAATGAATATAAAAAGCCAATGGTAAGTAAATATTAATTAGGGTATATTTATAAAATGCAGACCGTTATCTTCATATTATTTTTGGTTTTTAGATGTTTGATCGAGGACTCTGTTGTCGACAACTGAGGTATTCAGGAATGATGGAAACAATTAGAATACGTAGAGCGGGATATCCTATTCGGCATGCTTTTCCAGAATTTGTTGAAAGATATAGATTTTTAATTCCTGGAATACCTCCAGCACACAAGGTATTATTTTTAAGGAATCTAGTGTTCAAAAATGCATATTTTAAAAAATATTTAAGGGATTCCATACTTTTTAGTATAACAACTATTTCATTTGTAGAACACAATAAATCCTGATTAATTTTTTAGACTGAATGCCGTGTTGCAACGTATAAAATCTGTCATGCTGTGCTAGGCAGATCTGATTATCAGCTGGGACATACCAAAGTATTTTTAAAAGATGCTCATGACCTTTTCCTAGAACAGGAACGAGATCGAGTACTGACTCGGAAAATATTAATTCTGCAACGTAATATTCGAGGTTGGGTTTATAGAAGAAGATTTCTACGTATGCGATCAGCAGCCATAATTATCCAAAAATTGTGGAGAGGTTACGCTCAATTACAGAGATATAAACTTATGCGCATTGGTTACATGCGTCTTCAAGCTCTAATTCGATCAAGAGTTCTTTCACATAGATTCAGACATCTACGTGGTCACATTGTTGCTTTGCAAGCTCGAGCAAGAGGACACTTGGTTCGTGGAATGTACAGAAAGAAAATGTGGGCAATTGTTAAAATTCAAGCTCATGTAAGGAGACTAATTGCACAAAGAAGGTATAAAAAAATCATGTACGAATATCGTCTTCATGTGGAAGCTCTGAGACTACGGAAAAAGGAGGAAAGAGAATTAAAAGATCAAGGAAATAAAAGAGCAAAAGAAATTGCAGAACAACACTTTAGGGTAATAATCCAAAATAATTCCATCTCGTTTTCAATTATATCATATTTATTGTATTTTAGGAAAGACTGCAAGAATTAGAAAGGAAGGAGATAGAAATGGAAATAGAAGATAGACGCAGAATGGAAATCAAAAAGAATTTGATCAACGATGCTGCCAAAAAGCAGGATGAACCTGTCGACGACAGTAAATTAGTAGAAGCTATGTTCGATTTCTTACCTGATTCAAGTAGTGAAGCTCCCACTCCTGGAAGAGAGACGTCAGTTTTTAATGTATGTCAATGGTATTTTAAAACTCTTCTTCTTTCTAAATTAAGATAAAAAAAAGACTAATATTTTTATTTAAACAGGATCTTCCAGCACCAAAAATAGATCAACAGGAAATTATCAGCCCCCTTCAAACTGCTTCTGAAGACGAAGAGGATCTTTCAGAATATAAGTTTCAGAAATTTGCTGCTACATATTTTCAAGGAAATATCAATCATCAGTATTCGAGAAAGCCTTTAAAGCATCCTCTCCTTCCGTTACATACCCAAGGGGATCAATTGGTACGAATTAAACTATTTCAAAGAAACTCAATGTGATCACAATTTCAATTACCTTTTCTTCTTCTTTCACAGGCAGCGCAAGCATTGTGGATAACTATTTTAAGATTTACTGGCGACTTACCAGAACCTAGGTATCATACTATGGACAGGGACAATACTTCTGTCATGTCTAAAGTAACTGCTACTTTAGGTCGCAATTTTATAAGGAGTAAAGAATTTCAAGAAGCACAGTTGATCGGCATGGATCCGGTAATATAATATATTATATCACGTAACGGAATAAGTATAGGATTGTATAAATATTTTCCATTTACAGGAAGCATTTATGAAGCAGAAACCACGTTCGATTAGGCACAAACTTGTTTCACTTACTCTTAAGCGTAAGAATAAATTGGGAGAAGACGTGAGAAGAAAATTACAGGAAGATGAATTCACGGCGGATAGCTACCAATCTTGGCTTGAGGCTAGACCGACGTCCAATCTTGAGAAATTGCATTTTATAATAGGTCATGGAATTTTGAGAGCTGAATTAAGAGATGAAATATATTGTCAGATCTGCAAACAATTATCAAAAAATCCCTCTAAATCGTCACATGCACGTGGTTGGATTCTCCTCTCGCTATGTGTTGGTTGCTTTGCGCCTTCAGAAAAATTCGTCAACTATCTTCGAGCATTCATAAGAGAAGGCCCACCTGGCTATGCTCCATATTGTGACGATAGATTAAAGAGAACATTCAACAATGGAACTAGAAATCAGCCTCCCAGTTGGTTAGAACTCCAAGCCACGAAATCGAAAAAACCAATCATGCTCCCCATCACGTTTATGGATGGAAATACTAAAACATTATTAGCCGACTCCGCAACTACTGCCAGGGAATTGTGCAATCAACTCTCGGATAAGATATCGCTAAGAGATCAATTCGGATTTTCTCTTTACATAGCTCTTTTCGATAAGGTGTCATCTTTAGGAAGCGGAGGTGATCATGTAATGGATGCTATATCTCAATGCGAACAATATGCCAAAGAACAAGGAGCTCAAGAAAGGAATGCACCTTGGAGGCTATTTTTTCGAAAAGAAATATTTGCACCTTGGCATGAACCAACGGAGGATCAAGTTGCTACAAATTTAATTTACCAACAAGTAGTGAGGGGAGTTAAATTTGGAGAATATAGATGCGATAAAGAAGAAGACTTGGCAATGATTGCAGCTCAACAATACTATATAGAGTATCATACTGACATGAACGTAGATAGGTTGTTTACACTTTTGCCAAACTATATTCCAGATTATTGTCTGACCGGCATTGAGAAAGCTATTGATAGATGGGGACATCTTGTATTACAAGCTTATAAAAAAGTAAGTTTTTCTTTCTTTTAACCATTTAAAACATACTTTAGGTATTCTTTGAAAAGTGGTCGCTAATTATAAATCTGACATCAGATTTTTAAAATGTCGGATCAAATATGGTGGATTTTTTTAAATGCATCAGATTTGTTTGAAACTGCTGTTACTCGAGGGTTTTCGGAGTCGCTGACTATAAATATGACTTTAAATTCGTAAGCAGCTACCATAAAAGTCTTCAAGTAACGAATTTTAAGCGAATCCGATCACTTTTTAGTTTTTAGAAAATATTTCGCCACATTGAATCCATTATTTTGAATCCAAACTGACATCGGATTTGGAATCAGCGACTTCGGAAACCGATTTACGAGTTTTAAGCAAATGTAAAGAACATAAAAAAGTTCACCATATTAGATTCTCAGTTTTGAATTTTACAATTAGATGTCATATTCATAATAATTCATCGATCCTGAAAATCCCTGAGTATGAAAATTTGACTTTTTAAATGTTACCTATACAATTTTGCAGAAAAGTTATTAACAAATAATTTTTGTATAAAAAGAATAGCCCCCAGAATAGCTGTCAAGTTTTCACTGTAGAAATTGTCTTTATTTTCAGAGTTATTATTTAAAAGAAAAGGTACCTGCTTTACGAGTTAAGGAAGATATAGTAGGTTATGCAAAATTCAAGTGGCCTTTGCTGTTTTCTCGTTTTTACGAAGCATATAGAAATTCAGGTCCAAATTTACCTAAGAATGATGTTATTATTGCTGTTAATTGGACTGGAGTATACGTCGTTGACGATCAAGAACAGGTTCTTCTAGAATTATCTTTTCCTGAGATAACCAGCGTATCTAGTCAAAAGTAAGTGTTTATCAAACAATAATTATTTAATATTATTTAACATTTATCACCTACATTTTAATTTTTTTCATCAAAGCTTCCAGATATTCAGGATTTTTTGCGGACGTCCTTGAGATATCAGTTTGTCCTAGGAAATTAGGATAACCTTACAATGTTCGTGAATGTTCTAAGGGAATCCTTGGGATATCCTAATTCCTCAGGACCAACTGATATCCCTAGGACATTCTGAATATTGTTAGTATAACTTTTTTCATGACAAATAAATGTTTCATAATGCATGCAATTTAATTTCAGAACCAACAAAATATTTACACAAACCTTCAGCCTGTCGACCGTGCGAGGAGAAGAATTTATGTTTCAAAGTCCTAATGCTGAGGACATACGTGACTTAGTAGTATATTTTTTGGAAGGATTGAAGAAACGTAGTAAATTTGTTATTGCATTACAAGACTGCAAAGCACCCGGTGAAGGGTCTTCTTTTTTAAACTTTCAAAAAGGAGACTTAATTACTTTGGAAGATGAAAACACAGGAGAAACTGTACTTAATTCTGGTTGGTGTATTGGTCTATGCGACAGAACTGGAGAGAAAGGAGATTTTCCAGCAGAAACAGTTTATGTTTTGCCTTCTCTTACCAAGCCACCAAATGATATTCTGGTAATGAATATACTTCAATTTATCACACTTAAGTTTTAAATTAATTTTAGAGTATTTTACATCCATGTTGCCTCATTTTATACTTCCTTTTCTGCTCACTTATTCAGTATTTACATTCATTCATACTTTTCCGCATTTTTCTGATCATTTATTTTTTCAATTTCCTTACCTTTTCATCCATTATTTCCATCTGTATCCTTACAACCTCAAACTTCTCACGAAATCCACTCATCTTCTCAATTTGTTGGTAATTAGGAAAATAATATTTGGTAACATATAGGAAGGTTTCTGCTAAAGACTTGTATCTTTTTCCTGCAAGTTCTTAATTTCACTTTATATCTTGTGATAAATTTTTAAATCTTGTTTCACTGTACAGGCGCTATTTAATATAGAAAGTTCAGAGAATGGACGCAGACTATATCCTCAACAGATTAATGGATTGGAATCTCGTGATAAGCCTCACACTCTAATTGAATATGCAATTGATCACTTCCGGTAAGTATTTCTTTACTTTTTTAAATTAATTTAAACAAGTTTACTAAAATCATAAATTTAATTTACCAAAATATTTAGAACGCCACCAAAAAAATCAATTTCAAAAGCATTGACTTTAACAACTGCGAGGCGAGGTTATACCGATGAATTATGGAGACATTCAAGGGAACAAATAAAACAACCATTGTTGAAGAAATTAATATCGAAAGAAGAACTGGCAGAAGAAGCATGTTATGCTTTCACTGCAGTTTTAAAATATATGGGAGATTTGCCAACCAAAAGGCCCAGGATTGGTAATGAATACACTGATCAAATTTTCGATGGACCTTTAAAAAATGAAATTTTACGTGACGAAACTTATTGTCAAATCATGAAACAGTTAACCAATAATCGAAATAGAATGAGTGAAGAACGTGGATGGGAATTAATGTGGCTAGCTACAGGATTGTTTACTTGCAGTCAAAGTTTATTAAAGGTAAATTTTATTTAAAATAACTTTTCCTCACAATAACGCGGTTTGATTCCTGACCTGTGGCAACCTTGCATCTCTATTTATTATGTTAAAACGCATAAAAAAATGTGTTTTATAAAAATTTGTTTCGAGTGCTACCGTTCTTTTATTCTTTCACCCACCTTTAATGTCAGAGGTTTTTGCGATAGCAGCAAGTGTCCTGAAAATTTTGAGACCTTCTTGAGCAAAATTGGTTGAGAATTTTTTGAGAAAATTTGTGAGAATTACCTACCAAAAAAGTCTATAAAATGGACTTATTACCATACTATCCCCTGAAAAAAAATGTTTTCTTCCAGGAATTAACATTATTTTTAAGAACAAGGAGGCATCCTATTTCACAAGATTCATTACAACGACTTCAGAAAACATTGCGTAATGGACAAAGAAAATATCCCCCTCATCAAGTAGAAGTTGAAGCTATTCAACATAAAACAACACAAATTTTCCACAAAGTATATTTTCCTGATGACACTGATGAGGTGTGTGAGTTATCGTTTATTACTTAACTAAAATTTAAAAAAGTTGTATCAATTTTAAGTGGTCTAAAATACAATACTTGAAATGATCCTAATGGATATTCTTTTATTTTAAATTCATATTTCTAACGCTATGTAACAAAAAATGTAATGTCTTCTTCCTTAGGCATTTGAGGTCGATTCTTCAACAAGAGCTAAGGATTTCTGCCAGAACATCGCTCAAAGATTAAGCCTTCGAACGGCTGAAGGTTTCAGTCTTTTCGTTAAAATTGCTGATAAAGTAATTTCCGTCCCTGAAGGTGATTTCTTCTTCGATTTTGTCCGACACTTAACTGACTGGATAAGAAAAGCTCGTCCATCAAGAGATGGTAAGATTTTGTTTCTTTAATTAAATAACATAATATATTTATATGTTTTCAATAGAAATAATAAAATTCCTCTCTATTCAGGTACATCTCCTCAATTCACATATCAAGTATTTTTCATGAAAAAACTTTGGACAAATACTGTTCCTGGTAAAGACAGAAATGCTGATTTAATATTCCACTTTCATCAAGAACTTCCAAAATTACTCAGAGGTAAAAATTTTAATTTAATTAATTTTAATTTTTTTTTACGTAATATTATACAAACAACTTAGGTTATTCATGATTACTTTATTCAATTCTAACTAGAGAAATATATTACTTAGATATACAATGTAAAAAGACGTTCAAGTCAAATTTTACAGCAATATAATATAATATTTTTATATGTAATATTCGAGTAAGAAGGCTTGTGTTTATAAGTATTTAATTTATTTAATCTATTATTATCCAGATTAGTGAATTCCTTTGAATTTGATTCTGTCCCTGTATTCTAATTCTTGAGTTAGAATGAATATTTTGCTGAGCACTCGAAATATGAGTTTGCAAAGCTCAGTAAATATGTGTGTAATTATAAAAATGTTCGCACATTAGGAAATATTGAATAGAAAATTAAAGAAAATATTATTAACCAAAGCTCCTTTTCAATAGTTTTGTACACGGAAAAAAATATCTTGTGTTATCTACAAACTGCAGTTGTAGTCTCCACAAAGCAGCTGATTTTGGGAAATACACAAATCGGACTTGTAAACAAAACAAAATTTTTTTACGCACACGAAAATTTTTTCTGAAAAAAAAACAGATTGTTTTGTGATTTGCTTAAGGGGGAGTGACACCTTTGAGGTCTCTTTTAAACCTGTTTTTCATGAATTTTTTTAAGTCACATGAATAAAGTAAACAAAATTTGGTTTCGAGGACTTTATTTGTTAACTTTTTAAGTTTACAAAAATATATTTATATCACCGTTTTGAAGAATGTCATTTCGAGAAAAAAGCGTTTAAAGTTTTGACATATGAAAACTTATAAAAACATGAAATCAACGTTAATTTGCGATGCCTGCACCGTATAATTGGCCGTTTACATTAATATTGGCTTCATCTTCAGCCTTTCGAGCGGCTGTGAGCGTAAAAAAACGTAATTGTTACCACGGTAAAAGAGAAAATAGCCGATAGCGCTATCAAGCAGTCGAATCGCTCTTGAAAACCTTCTGCAAATTTCGATTATTTTACATAAAATTATTCCGAAATCGCTTTTGCTGATATAATTTTTATTCTACACATCATAAAGTATCGTTTAAGAAAACAAAAAAAATCGATTTTTTTCCGGGTCAAAGGTGTCACTCCCTCTTAATTCTGCCTATTGGAAACACTATTTTCTTTATTTACAGCACAGTTTTTACAATTTGTCTATTTTAGAATTGGATTTGTTGTTGCCACAATAAATTTTTTCTGTGTACTGTAAAATTGCAAAACCTAGTAAAATTATTTCGGTTAATTAACAATGTGTTCTAAAAGGTCCAAAAATAATTTTAAAAAGTAGTAGTAGTATGCAGTTTCTTTCTGAATACCTGATATTAATTCAATAAATTTATGTCTAGGATACCATAAATGCACTAAAGAAGAAGCGTCCAGATTAGCAGCACTGGTTTACAGAGTACGATATGGTGAAAGTAAACAAGAGCTACAGGCAATTCCGTAAGTATTTTTTTTTAATATATTACATTCTCATAATGAATAAGTTATTAGATTTGTGTGATTTTTGATCGATATCAAGGGAACGACATAAAATATTAAATACGGACATTTAAGATTTCAATCTTTATTTAAATTTATTAAAAACACAGTCTCAGGTGCTTGCTTTTCAACGTAATCAATGGAATATTGTAGAAAAAATTTCAAAAGCAAAGAAGAGTGCAAATTTCACATCAGCCAAATACAAATGCCATATCAGGATAAGCATGGAAAAAATGCCCCGTATGAATCAGGTCCTTATTTGGGGAATAATTTAGTCGTATTATAAAAAATAGTTTTGGCAAAAATATGTTATATTTAAGATGACATCTATTTTATAGAAAAAATATGGTGGTGGTGCAAAAAGAATTTCGACCAAGAAAAATTGTTTTAAAGTAAATGAAATTTTTTTTAGTGTCTTGCTGTGCAAGATTTTGTTTGCCAATTTTTTTTTTAGAAACTGTCTTAATATGTTGTACAACATATATTTTTTTATGAAAATTGGTTTAGCAAATTCGGAGGAAAACAAAATTTTTAAATTTTTTAAAAAAGCGTGTAACTTAAAAGCAAATTTTTTTTTTTTGAGTTGAAACTCGGAGAAAATAAGTTTCATAACAGGACTAAATTATTCTCCATATATATGTACTTATTGATACACTATTTCCATGCTTATCCTGCAACGGGCTTCAGCGAAAAAATGCTGAAATATTAAAATTCACATAACTTGGTCAATTTTCATAAAATTTTATTTAAGAAAAGCTCTTTTTACGCAGCTTTAAATATACTTTCAAAGCATGTTTTTGAAAAAAATCAAAAATTCGCAAAAACTAAGTTCCTCCTGTTCTTGACCACTATAGCCACCCACTGTGACGGATTTATCTCAAAATCTAACACTTGGATCGACTTAAACTTTTAGGAAGACAAAAATAAACCAAAAACAATTTTGTAAATAGGTTAAAAATTGAGGAAGTTATGAGTAATTCTTTACGTGAATACATACCGAAAACGGTTTTAAGACCGTAAAATAAAATTTTAAGGATGTTTGGGAAATTTCTGATATTTTTTTTATTAATCCGAATTGACCTTTAATTTGTAATAGGTCTTTATAAAAGAGCAAACAATTTTTTTGTCACACAGTGCAATTATCGACGGTACTTATATGAAAAAAATTTTATATTTCAGTCAAATGCTGCGCGAATTAACACCTGGCGATTTAATAAAAGTTCAAAACGCCAATGAATGGAAAAGGTCAATAGTAGCTGCCTACAATCAAGATGCTGGTAAGTTTTTTATTAATTTTATATACTATAATAAATAATTCATGTTCCAAAAAAACAAATACTTTCCTACAACACGTACATAGTTGTTTGAAACATTTAAGAAATACAAATAATTGTGTTACAGGTATGAGCCCAGAAGATGCTAAAATAACATTTCTAAAAATTGTATATAGATGGCCAACGTTTGGATCAGCTTTTTTTGAAGTAAAGCAAAGTACAGAATCACAATATCCAGAACTCCTACTAATTGCTATCAATAAACATGGAGTTAGTCTTATTCATCCCCAATCAAAGGTGAGTTTCATTTGCTTTTTCCTGCAAGAAGAAAAAACAAATTTGGGGTAACTTGGAATCGAATCCAAGTTCATATGGGCAACCTCCCCTCAACGTTCTTTGATTAATTTTTTTTCATTTTTAAATTTTTTGTGCTCATTTGTAGTGAAAATTGATACTTTTGCTATTTTTGTAAGAGGAAAATCCCCTTAAAGTAAAAAAAAATTTTAAACTTATCATTGGGATGAAGTATTTTATATATTGATTGTGTGTTGAAATTAATCGGTAATGTCATTCTTAAATGGTAGTGAAAAGACTTTGAAAAAGTGATTTTTAGAAAAACGCGTTTTAAATTTTAAAAGCTAAAAAAGTGAAAAAAAAATATATTTTTAAAATTATACGGAATCATCGGTTCCGCAGCTTCATAGAGTAGACTCCCTACAACAGCTTCGATGTCTTCAGCCTCTTTTTTTTCGTCCACGAAATTATAAAATCATTGAGAACAAACGCTCTATCGAACGTAAAACTAACTAACGGAGATGCAGTTTGAGAAGCTAGGGGAAAGGTTTTTGCTTTTAAAAAACTGAAGAATTGTGGACTTCGGATTCGTAATCTACGTGAAAAAATCTATTGAAATGATGTATGAAACATCTAACTTTTTCAAACATATAAAAGATAATACAAATATATTCATTATAAAATAAAATGTCCTCTGCCTAGGTATGTGAGATTCTCGGTAGTTTTAGCGTTTATCCAGATATTGATTCACTAAAATGTTTAACTTTTGTAGAGGTTTGCGGTTTATAAAAGTTTTTGGGGTATTATTAAAAAAATCAAGTTTTTTAAGGAGGTTCATCCCAAAATCGATTTTCTATAGATTTTTTAAAAATTTTTAAGATGTATTATTGACATCACTTTACATGTGTTGTTCAAATTTTATTGAATTTTACCGTATCATTTTCAAGATAAAAATTGATAAAGTTTGAAGTTTTACATGGGAACAGTGAAAAAACATGAAAAATGACCATGTTTTCATTAATTAAAAAAACGGTTCTACAGATTTTTTTAAAAAACTAATATGTTTTAAATTATGAGTTTTAACAGTTTTTACAAAAATATGAAATTTTTTTACCGTTTGGTTGTGAAGTAAATGTTAATCAAAATTAGCAACTTTTGAACTTATCCCATGTAAATAAAAGAAAGAAGAGGAGAAACGGCAACATAACCTCTAAATTGGCCAGTGGAGCTCAACTTTTATGGACTATAGCTGTCGGTTTTAAACTTACGGTAAACCCCTAATAGAATGAGTACCGCTTGAAGGGATGAACCTCCTTAAAAGACTTTTTGCGGAAAAATTTAACACCATGTAGAATAATTCAGCGCAAGTTTTGCTTTTTGGAAACTTTTACTTTAAAGTACTAACTTCCTGGATATTAATATATATTAATGGCCACTGGTCATATTTGTAACCATTTATGTAATTTGTAGTTAAATAATAATTAGATATGCGACCATATCGACAATTACTTTAAAGTTCTAAATTCTTTATTAACGGGTTCAAGTGCAAAATGAATGTTTAATTTTTATTTACAGGATATCTTAATAACTCATCCGTTTACTAGAATTTCCAACTGGTCTTCAGGAAACACATATTTTCATATGACAATAGGAAACTTAGTGCGAGGTACTAAACTTTTGTGTGAAACTTCGCTGGGTTACAAAATGGATGATCTTTTAACTTCGTACATATCATTAATGCTTACAAACATGAACAAACAACGTACAATAAGGATAAAATAACTTATCAGTAAGACAATGTTATATAAGATATAGCATAATCAAATAATATTTATGACATTAGCCTTTGTTTCTAGAGTTTATTCTTAATACTGAAATTTACCTGAATTATAATTGTGACGACGACTAATGAAGGTTCAGAAATTCAATAGTTAACATTAATTACAAATTGATAAATAATTGAAATTTTAATTCAAATTAGTTACATTATTAATGTGGTTGAGTGGTATACTAAATGATAATAATTAGTAACAATCAAAAGTATAATATTTAATAAACAAAGTCTCTTAAAGCGTTAATAAGCGCTTACTTGTTATCAGTTCTTTAAATTAAGTTTTTTTAATTAATTAAATAAGTCAAAATTTATATGGATATTGTATGAAAAATTAATATTTAACAAATTAAATATTCATTTTTGTGTAACTAAATTTACTGAACTGACAAAAAAATATATTTTTAATGTATATGACCGTTCTTGTTTCGTAAGTTTGCGAAAAAGACCAATGTAATCGTCCGACTAATCTACACTGAAAATTTTTTTAAATAAATTTGATTACTTTTTAAATATTTTACCTGGTTTAATAAGTTTCCTGTTAGTTCCACATTAACTTATCTTTTTTTTTAATTTAATGTACTATTTCTGTCAGAAGACCGAAGACAATATGTGCACGAGTACCTATATCCTAGTAAAAAGAAAAATTAGACGATGGCACTTTTTGGATGGACCATTATTTTTGAATTCAAAAAAAGGCGAATAGGACCGAAATTGGTTTCAGGTTTATATATTGATACAATTTTGCAGTTTCTGCGAAAACAATTTTTTCAATATTTTCTGAATTTTTTCGAAATTTTGAATATCTTTAAAATTCCTTTTTTTATACTACGTAAATTTATGTATTTTAATGCGCTGATTATGAAAATCATAGTGACAATACCCGAGAATTTTATTTTTATGTTGAAAACTATAAAATAGGGTAAAATGTACAGTGAACCGACACCCAAATACCTGCTATACAAATGATAATAAGTATACAGAAATAATAATATGGAATTAAATTTTCAGGTATAAATTGATTAATATACGAAATTTAGAAACTGATAGATGACACAAAATTTTATTTGTATTTTCCTCAATATTTTGTTATTTAGAAAAAAATATATATATAAATAAAATATATTTTACCTGAATTTTTTTTGTACATTAATTAATACGTTACTTAAATAGCGGTTTAAATATTGTTTATTTTACTAAGGGGTGTCATTTTCATACAATAAATTTTTAATTTTGAAATGACAAAATTTTCAAAATCTTATTCAATAAGATCTAAAAGTTTTTTTTTAATAAATTGCATAATTTAACCAAAGATCGCAAAAAACAATACAAATTTTAAGACTATTTTATGGTTTTCGACATAAAAATCGGATAAATTTGCGGTGATATTGTCACTATGATTTTTGTAATTAGGGCATAAAAATACATAAATGTACTTATAGGATAAAAAACCGGAGATATTTTTATAAAAATTCAAAATTTTGAAAATTTGAGTAATAACAACAAATGAAATGTTAAATGTTAAATTAAAATGAATGTAATGTATTGAAATGCAAGTTGACGTCGTACTTGTGGTGTCAGCCGCAAACGTCCTGAATGCAGTATTGTTTTCATAAGCGCTGAGAAAATGGAGAATTCCCTCTCCAATATCTTGAAGGAATTGCAATTCGAACGTTCATGATTGTTTTTTTTACATCTTTGATATAATTATGCTTGTAATTTCTTTTCCATAGTCAAAAACATTATATACATTTCGATCACATTCTGCATTAAAAGGATAATCCTCTTAAATTGAGAGGAAATTCTTTTGATATTATATTGTCGAGGAAAAGATTTATGAAAATGTAATGAATTTTTTCCCACAAAGAATATTGTTTTTAAATGTTATAAACTTTTTCATTTAAATTAATAAAGTTTCAATAATAATAACGTACTTGAGAAGAATAATTTAATACTCTTTTAAAGTGGACTAGACTAGTATTAATAGGTTATTACATTTCTGATGGAGCAGTTGTCTTAAGAATTAACGCAAAATTTATTTTTAAGAAAGAGTAACAGTTTAAAGAATTTTTTATAAAGTTTTCTGCTTTACACTACACAAATGCGAATTCGTCTAATTATATCTAAAGGTGTAATTATTGTTATTAATACTGAATTACTGTTGTGCATAATAAAGGTAACCATGTTCATTGTCCACACAATACGAACGTTAATTGTGAGTAAATTCCCAGGGTACATTCCCCAACATTCCTTCGTAACAATAGATCTCTTCAGGAAGGTTCCTCTCTTAGGATGATGTTATCACATTTCCTTTAAAAAGTCTTTTCTGTTTAATTACGTTTACCGAAAGCAGGTTTTATTATTTTACAGTTATTAGTCCGATATAGATTAAATACAGATAGCTTAGAAATAAGGAAATATTGTTATTCATCTGAAACTTTTTCTGTACGATAAGTTCTTCTTATATATTTATCGAAATATCGTAGTTTCAACTAATTTTCTAAATCAAACAAAAAAATATTTGTTATGACAAATTGAAGATTTTTCTTTATATTTCGTTTAGAAATCTGTATGTAATTGATTCCTTGCACGAATTTCATGTGAATTTCTGTACGAAGATTGAAAGACAAATTTTGAGTCAGAATAGTCGAACGCAATTCGCAGGAAAAAACGCCACACGAATACCAAAAGTACACTGTATAAAAAATTTTTATTTCTGAAATCGTTCACTGAAATCGTTCACATAAGACTGAATTTTTGCTTTCATGTTAGGACTTTCAGCAAAAAAATTATAACAAAATAACAAAAAAATTTTTTTCTCTTCTACCAGAATCGGGCACAAGTTAAATTCTTATAGAAAATATTCTTCATGGTGAAGACAATCCACAAAAAAATGTTAAAGTGGGGTTTTTGAGTAATTTCAATTTAAAGTTTTTTATAAAAATGTCCGCCATTTTTTTTAAATTTTTTTTTATCCTGATTTGAAATGAATTTGGTTATTAGAATGAAATTTTCTCCCTCGGATTATGTTAATTTTAAAGTATAAACGAAAATTCTAATTTTATAAAATATCGATTTTCGTGACTGCTGCAAATAATTTATAGTTTCTTAAAAAAAAAAAATTTTTAATCAAATCTTGTCTTTAATCGAAGGAATGAAAAAATATTAGATTTACACAAAATGTCAGCTTTAAAAAAAAAATTAAAAAATTTTTTGTAAAAAATTTTTTTTTTGTGTAAATATAATATTTTTTTCAGTCCTAAAAAAGCAAGATTTGATCTTATATTAAATAAATATTTGGCTGTTTGTAATTTTTTTTTATAAAAAACACTTTTTTTTATAGAAACCGTTGTAAAATCGTTGCAGCAGCCACGAAAATCGATATCTTTTTCAAAATTAAAAATATTGCTTTTACTTCAAAAGTTATATATTCAGTTGCAAAAAATTCCATTTTAATAAATTAAAAACTTTCTTTGGAAAAAATTTTCAAATAATGTCTTTTTCTGCCTCTAGACTAGGTATAACCTAGTAGACCTCGAATATTCCTTATTTTTCCAGCTTTCATATCAATAAAGAAAATTGTTTAACTTTCTCAGTATTTTTGAAATTGTTTCTCATTATTTATTGAAGTAAAAAATATTGTTTTCAAGACAAATTAATGTATTATTAAAATAATAAAACTGGGAATTTAAATTCCCGGTTCTCCTGATTAGTAGACACCCTGTGAAATAGATATTTATAATCTACCAATTCATGAAGTGCAATTAATTCAAGTTTCAAGTATTTTCAAAAAAACGGCCGCCATATTGGATCCGTCATTTTGAATTATTAAAATCTAACACCGGATACGTAATCAGCGATCCCAAAAACCACCGAGTAATGAGTTTCAGGCATTTCCACTAGTGTTGCACTCGCTTCCGATTCGTGTCGCTGTGGTCACGAATTATTATTTCAGCTTTGAAGTTGTACACTGAAAAAACCTTGGTCGAATTGTCGTTACAAAGAGCGCATTTGCAGAAAAACACTTTTTTAGTTTATTTAGCAAATAAGAAAAGACCAAGATATGTCTGAATTTACATTTTAAAAGTTAGAAAAGTGCATAGGGGAATTTGAAAAAACCTATTAATTTCTATAAAATGTTCACAAAAAAACTAAATGTACCCTTTAGTAAATTCAATGAAAATTATAAAATTTTTAAATATTCACATTTTTAATTCAAACAACATATGCTAGTAATCGTGAAATTCTGAGGAATAAGAATATGATAAAACAATTAAAATTTTTTTTTTTTTGAAAAAACTCATTAAGGGCCATAAATAGAAAATGTCATTAGGCCCGAGAACGCCGCTCAGGCCCTTAATGAGTTTTTTCAAAAAAAAATAAAATTTTTAATTTTTTTTATTATATTCATATTCCTCAGAATTTCACGATTACTAGCATATGTTGTTTGAATTAAAAATGTCAATATTTAAAAATTTTATAATTTTTACAACTTCCCCTTACAGGACGCAATCGATGATCGCCTCCTATTTAAATATGTGACGCTCCGCGACAAAAGGGACCTTAACTCAAAAGTAGCTAAGGTACTCGCGTTCTCGCGGAACGTCACATATGTGGGACTTTTAATAAAAGAAACTGTAAATGTTAAGGAAATGTCTTCTTAATTTATAAAAATATTCAATTTTTTAGACTCATTAAAAAAAAACGAAACTTTTGTGGAAAATTATAAAAGGATATTGATGGCAATAATACAAGTAATTCAAATAACATATTAAGATTTGATTAACATTATCACTTTAATAAAAAATCTATTTGCTGAATCAAATATTTTAATAATTAGTGTTATTATATTTAATATAAATTATTTTATTCGTTTTCTAGCATAGTATCTCATTAGATTCTGTATAATATTTTACACATTGTTTCAACAATTTCTGAAACATTTATTAAAACACATAAACTACTAAAATAAAGTTCTGCTGAACTGTCTTGTTCGTTTTCGTTTGTTTCAATGTTCACAGAGACGTGTCTACTTTTGTCGAACACAGAAGGCATGTAATTCGCACTAAAACTTAGGGTGCTTTGGTTCTGTCTGTAAATGAAAAGGAAGTATCAGAGACCTCCTTGTGATGGCGGATGTGTACTCCAGGGAACATCAGCTATAGCTGGAGGCATACTAGCTTGATTGTGCATGGAACGGGGTGCTCTCATGACTTCATCCGCGGGAGGACAGTGTGGACGAGGTCCCGGTTCTGGCGTATAGGTAAACGTTAATCCAGTAGCGTAGATAATACCGTCGTTGCGTACTAGAGAAACTGGAACTTGGGTGGGTTGTCGAACCCAAAGCCATTCACCTCTGAAGAGTGATATATCCGGAACGACACACAACATACTCTCTTGACACCTATACATGGTTTCAGCTTCAACGTCACCAAACCACACTCGAAGATTTGGTGTAAAGTTGTCACCAGTCAATTCCAGCATTGCAACATCACCGCCCCCGTTAAGATGCAGACTATGAACAAGTGGCACTGGAGTTACGGGCGAACGCACTGGACCCATTCCTTCGAAAAATTGGTATTCAGCTTTGTCAGTACTAATAATTGTCCAGCAAGCACCATCATTAATCATCTCTTTGTTTGCTTCCTTTGGACAGGGAGTTGCTTGAAACTGAATTATCCTCTCTTGAGAAAGACACAAATACATATGGTCCGTGTCTTTCATGTAGAAAGCACATTTATGCAATTGCGACACAGGATCGTCAGCCTCCAAACTCGCCATTTGCTTGTCAACCTTGCGAATAACTAATCGAGGTAGGGCCATTCCAGTTACTGAGCAGACTAATTTTACTGTACTGCCATAGTGGACATACCCGTCCCGAACTTGAAATTCTTCTGATTCACTTTCATTGTCGTCTAAAAGGTGAATTGTGAACGCACCCCATTGCGTTGAACTAGCATGAAAATTGCCATTTTCAACATGTAGATATCTCGTGCTAACCGTTTGTGAACGTAAACGATTGAAAAGAGCTACTTTAGTGCCACTGGCAATACAAAGATCAGCATTTTTTAACGACTGTTTCTTTTTGGAAGGTTTCGATATGACCTTTATTCGCTTACTGTGAAAAACTCCAATATCATGTCCACTACCGTAAAACATTTTAACGGAAAGCATAAAATGCTTTCTCTTATCTGAGTCGGATATGTACAAGGTTTTAGCGGCGCAATATTGTTTGCCATTGTTGAGATCAAGTTGCTGCATATCCTGATCGGAATTTCCAATTCCAATAAAAGCGCATAATTGCGATGACTGTTCGGACTCACCGTCTCTGAGCATTTGTTCCTGTCTCATTCTCCAACCATCTCCAAATAAATAAATACAAGGTGGCGGACAGAAGAATCGTTTTTCATTACCATACGATTTCTGAGCAACTTTAGCATGTAAAATTACAATGACCATATCACTCCTATCACGCAAGTAACGTTCCATAGCTTCTCGTGTCAACCTTTGGTCTTGATTGTCCGGACGATACACTCCAGCACTGAAACGAGGATATACAGACATGACCGATGTTGGCGAAGGCGGGGACTGCATGCCGTGTGCCATAATGGGTAAACCAAATTGATGTGGCATATTTAACTTGCTACTCCTTACTTATTTGGCTACTGCCAACTTATCCTCAAGGTAGGTGCAACATCACGTTGTGAATCTGAAAAGAAAAATACATTGTATAAAAAGGAAAATTACTGACATTAAAATACACATAAACATAAATACGTCATTAAATTGATTCGAAACTTTTTTTTAGTAAAAATCTATAATTGATTGATAAGGAGAGGTTGGTAATATTAAAAGGGGTTTAGAATGTTAAAATGTGAAAGGAGTAGAGAAAACTGTACAAGAGATTGAAGGATGGGTAGAATGAGAAAATTCTATCCGCATTCAGATGAAACCTGGTTTTCCTATTATATTATAGGCTAATATCACCTTGTGACTACTAAAACTTGCCTTATTTTATAATGCTTACTGTGAACGCTAGGAATTTTTTACAGATATGAGGTTTATGAACCCAATGGGAAATTTACCATTGGTCAAACATTAGACTAATATTGGGAGCCAATGATTGGCAAATGCAACCACTTTATTGATTATAAAAAATTTTAAATGACAACGCAGTGGTCTACAGAAAGAATTTGGTTTGTGAATTAAAACAGGAGCACCGCTCCAGGTCGCAATTTTGTCTCTGGAACAAAAAATAAAATGTATCCTTAACCCTCCGTCAGTCGCATCAAATTTTGTCACGCGATCAGTGGCAGGTGAGGAAATTCCTCACCTTAATAAATTAATCCAATATTGTTATAAAATGTCAATCTTTTTCATAAATGTTTATTATGAATGATAAAATGTAAAATTGTCTTCAGTTATTGTTTGTTGTAAAAATAAAAAATTAATAACTTATCAAATTGACTATACGCGGTTAGTCGCATGTTGAAAAATTTCCTCACTTTGCATAAAAAATTCTCAACATTTGCTACATTTAAATTCAATAACATAAAAATAAAACTATTAAAGAACATGAAAACAATTTTAAGGCCATTTTCATCAACTCAGTTAAAAGTTAATTAGCGATTAAATCCCTAACCGACCAATCATGAGCGGTTAAATTATCTTTAATCGCTGATTAACTTTTAACCGGAGTTGGTGAAATTGGTCCTTAATATATAAAAGAAGAGTGCTGTGAAAAGTACTGAAATTATGGAATTTTAATTTTATGTATTTCAAAAAATATAAATAAAAAAAAGGAAACTGGGTGGTTTTCTCACTATGCGACTGACGGATGGTTAAAATGTAGTTCAATATAAAGTGACATAAGTAGGATTTTTCAAAATATTGTTTTATAAAAAAGTGGCGTCGATTTTAATCGGTGCTACTGTAAACATTTTTTGTCTTTTTGTACAGACCATCATTTTTAATTTTTTATAATTAATAAAGTGGTTTTTATATACCATAATACTAGTGAGGCTTTCCACGGGAAATTTTCAGTCAAAAATTTTTTTTGCCCAAAACATTTTTTTCCAAATCTATATAAAAAATAAGAAAATATGTATTTTTTTATTTTCTTATTTGGTAAAAATGAAGGAAGTTAATATTTTTTTAAATTTAACGTCATCAAAGGCAGTGTATTTTAGAAACATTCTTTTATCTATTGTACTAATGCATAAAAACTTATTCTATATATGATATATAAGTATATAATTTGTTATATATAATATATATAATTTGTTCTCTTTTTTTCAAATTTTTCAAATATTTGTTAAAAAATAACGTACCTATAACGGAAGTAACAAAAAATTTGAATTTAAATTTAAAAAATTAGTTGTGAAACACTTTTGATTTTTAATTTTTTTTGTACTGCAATCTCTGATGACTGGAGAATTTTTTCCCTTATCTGCAAAAGTGGTGTTTTTAGTTTTTAAATCACTATTTTTAGTTTACTTAGTACGGCGCACAGAATTTCAAGCAGTTATTCTACAAATATAACTTTTTTTCATTATCATTTTTTTTTAATTTTCAAAAATACATACCTACTATAAATCTTTACGTCTAGCTTAAAAATTGTAAATAGTAATTTAAAAACTAAAAGTACTACTTTTGCAGATAAGGGAAAAAATTCTTTAGTCATCAGAGATTGCAGTGCAAAAAAAATTAAAAATCTAATTTCAACTTTTTTATTGCTTCCGTTATAGGTACGTTATTTTTTAACAAATATTTGAAAAATTTGAAAAAAAGTGAACAAATTTCATATATAGAATCATTTTTTATGCATTAGTACAATAGATAAAAAAAAGGTTTCTAAAATACACTGCCTTTGATGACGTTAAGTTTTAAAAAATCATAACTTCCTTCATTTTTACCAAATAAGAAAATAAAAAAATATATATTTTCTTATTTTTTATATAGATTTGGAATAACTGTTTTGGGCAAAAAAAATTTTTGACTGAGAATTTCCCATGGAATGCCCCAGTGCTTTTATTTGCTTAAAACCCTATATCTTAAAAAAAAATTCTTAGCTTTCACAGTAAGCCAGAGGCAAGTTTTTAATGGTGATAAAGTGATACTAACTCTTAAGAATTTTTATATAACCTGTAAACTATCTAAATCAGCTTAAATCACATTAAAAAACGCTCAAATTTTACGGAAAAAGCTAAGATTCGGGATTCTGGCATTTATTTCTAAGAGTAAAGGACGATAAATTTTTCTAAAAATTCGAAATAGACTTATCACGAAAAACTGTCAAATTTAATTTAAGAAAGAATTTTTAGCATTGTTTTTTAAAAAATAAAATAACTCATAATTACAAAATAAAGCTGACCTCTTTTATTTACAACTCTTAAATAAATCAATTTTTCATATTTTTCCTACAAAATTTCAAAAAGTTAAGACTAGGTCTTTCTCTAAATTCACAATTAAATTGTTACTATTTTGTGTTAACATTTACAATTTTCCATACCCTCAAAAGCTATATATGTTTCTTTAAAGAAAAAAGTTTTTACTTTTGTAAAGAAATAATTAATCAGAGATTTCTTACAGGAAACCTGTAACAAGTTGGCAGTCTTCTTAGAAAGAAGGATGTACGTGAAGCCCGTGGGAACTGAACTGAGCTCATTTTTGCTACATGAGTTAGAATTCTGACGTTTATTATGATACGATCCTTACACAATAAAATGGTAAATACTTCCTTTTTAATAGAGTCATGTATAGTTGCTATATTTGCTGCTAGCTAAATTGAATATTTTTTAAAAATATTTAGTATACTATTTTTATACACATTTTGATAAACATTTAGAAATAAAAGCTAAAATGTATAACAAAATTAAAGTAACGTGCTCTTTTATGTATTGGCACGTACAATATACATGAGAATAGGTTAATTAAGTTAAGCATAATTCTGGGCCATATGTATTTACTGTTTAATGACACTGAGTCAGCATCGTATAGTGTTGTCAATATTTCACACAATTTTTCTTGCTAATATTCAAGCTTTTAAATTTTTAATCTTAACAAACTTGTTAAGCTTTTTAAGAAACTTACATAGGTTAGACAATTTTATTTAGTATGAAAATATCTAAATTCACGCGTGTACAAAATAACTCAAAAATTTTTATTTCCATATGCAAAAAGGGGTCCGTTACATTTGTCCAAACTTGGTTTGGTTAAAAGTCTTAGGATTATATAAGAAAGTTGTTTTTAACAAAGTAGTTAGATTTCAAATAGAAAAATATTTCGTTTGTTGGAGTGTTTAGAATATTTAAATATTTCGTTTATTATAACTAGTCGCATTCATTTGTTATTTTAAAATCAGTACTTCATGTAAAACACTGGCAAATGCAATTCACAATATCCTACTTGATTTCTTTGAGGGATTTGTGTAAAACACTTTGTTCGTAGATCGATTCAGCTCAAATTTTTTGGTGCTTTCTATATCTTTAAAAATACTTGCAGTCAACAAAAATTTCAAGTCCCAATTCTATCTTTATAAAGAACTTTCGCAATCGTTAATTCAGTGAAAAATTACGTTTTCGATTTGGCTAAAATTTTCAGGGAAGATAGTTGAAAGTCAATACTTCGAAATGATATAAGCAATCCACTATGGTTCAGGAGACCGAGTTCGGAATTCAAAAATCACTTTTAGAATTGGGTAAAATTAAGTATACCATATTCTAATCATTAATAACACAGGCCGACAAGATTTACTTTCCAAGAATCAGACAATACTTTTCCGAAGGCTTTCGACGTGCTGAATCCGAATCCGGTCTCAGAATTGACTCTGCACGTCAGGTTTTCGAGATATTCTAACCTTAATGTGCAGAAAACCCGTTTTTCAACTGCATTTGAGGTCATGCAACATCAAGAGATAATTTTTTTTCCAAAAGATCAATATGACATCTGAAAGTGCTATTCTTCCCCTTCAAAACCCATTTTGAAAATTTTAAAAATCTTCATTTGTCCCTGAGTAATCGTTCATTCCAGTTTTTGAGTATGGCAAATTTTTTGATATTTAAAAAAATCGTTCGCCATATTGAATCCATTATGAATTTTGAAAATCTGACATCGCATCAGTGTTGCCAGAGACTCCGCATTTCCGCATTTTGCTCCGCAATTTGACACTTTCATCCGCAATCCGCATTAACAAAAGCGGATGACCCAAAAATCCGCATTTTGGTATAAACCCCTTTTTTCCATGTAAAGGTTACTTACGCCCAGTGCACAACTGCTGCGAAATGCGCAAAGCACGTAAAGCAAGCAATTTATTGTCAACCAATCAAAACCCACTATGTTGGCAGTCGAGCTGTGAATGCTTCCTTAGGGTTATAAAAATATACATAGTAAGTTATTTTTTTACAGATTTTCTTATAGGTATTTACTTTTTTTGTTTTTACATTAATTATAACAATTAAATTATTTAAACAAATGTTTAAAATATCTTTTTTGAAATATCCGCCATTTGAAACAAAAATCCGCATTTCTGCGCCTGCGCGTCCGCAAACCTCAAGCTCAGTTCTGGCAACACTGCATCGCATTCCTGTTCAGCGACCCCAAAAACCCTTGAGTAACAAATTACAAGCAAATACAATCAAATTCGTGTTCAGTTATACCGAAAATCTGCAGAACTATTTGAAAGTTAGATGTTTGTTGTTATATTATTCT